AAGTAGTTGGTCTGTTTTAAGCTTCATTCATAAATATGTCATATTAGATTATAATACAATCTCGTAAATACAGAATTCATAATAAAATGTCAAATTTAATATGGGCTATTGAAACACTGTCTTAAAAAAACGAAGAAGATTGTCGGGTGTGGTGGTGCATGCCTTTAATCCCAGCGCGAGGGAGCCAAAGGCAGGTGGATCTCAGTGAGTTCAAGGCCAAGCCTGGTTTACATAGGGAGTTCCAGGCCAGCTGGGGCTTCAGGGAGACCCTGTCTCAAAAAGACCAAAAAAAAAAATGAAGAGGAGGAGAGAAGGAGAAAAAAGGAGGAGGAGGAGGAGGAGGAGGAGGAGGGAGGAGGAGGAGGAAGGGGAGGAGAAAAACTTTCCAAACTCTCTTACAAAGTCTGTGACTTCCAGGTGGGCTGTGACTACAAAGACCCTGTTAAAAAAACAACCAACAAAAAGATTTAAACCCCCCCACACACAAAAAAATCCAAAGTGCCCTTGCTCTATTTTATTTCCATCACCAATGAATGAATGCTCAAGTTGATCTATATTGGTTCTCAATGTCAATCCTTCCAGTAGCATATAGTAGTTTCTTACTGCTGGCTAATCTGTAATCCCCTAATGATTAGTGATGCTGAGTGGCATTTCACCTGCTCAGAATCTGAGTTTTTTGCTGAGCTGTTTCTCTTAAGTGGTTTGTACATTTTTAATAGGGTTGAATAAAAACTATACAGTTTGGCTAATATAATTCTATAAATACTACAAATGTTGACTCTTAATTTCTTCTCTAGAACTTGTATACAAATATCAGAAATCAATTTATATATTTTTAGTTTTTAATTTAAGAACATTTTTTTAAAGAAACTTTTTAAACTTTAATGCAGTTTACCATTATTTCCCATTACACTTTTTCTTCTGTTTAAATTTAATTAAGCCTATTTTAAAAACTCTTATTGTTTTAGAAGCTGCATTTTAGGCCTGAGAGTAAACATGAATTGATTTTTATATGTGCTCTGAGATGAGGTTCAAGAGTTTTTTGTTTGGTTTTTAATCAGGGTATCCAATGTTTCCAGCACTATTTGGTGAGGACACTCTAATTTCTTCCACTGAACTACTTTTTTGCTCCATGAAAAAATATGAAGTTTATGGAAGTCTATATTGCAACAGTATTCAACTCCTTTAGTTCGTAACTGTTCTTATATCTAGCACCAGACTGCCTTGAGCAGTATCACCTTCAGACACTGAAAGAAAGTCCTTTAACTTTCACCTTTGTAAAAGTGACTTACAAAATAATCTGCTGAGGTTCTGGAGGGTAATATTTAATATCAGATTAATGGGGAAAAGTGAAAGCTTATATTCTGATGCATGAATGTAGTCTACTTCTTGACTCATTTACGTTGCCTTTGTTTTCTCTCATCTGTTCTTTTTGTGGATTTTGGATTTTAGGGGTTCTGAAATTATACCAAGGCCTTGTGCATATTAGACAGCACATTTCTGCAATTCTAGTTAGGAAGCTGAAGTAGGAGGACTGTTATGAGCCTGAGGCCAGCCTGGGCAACACTGTGAGGTCCAGAGTAGCCTGGATTATACAGTGACACTCTGCCTCAAAAACAAAACAAAACAAAAACCCCATACAAAAACAAGAAGCTGCATATTAATGATGTCTTCATCCATACTATGAATTTAGAAAGTCAGGGATAGCCATTCAAATCTTAACAAGACGGAGCACATGAAGAAGAAAAACTGATTCTCCAAACGTGGGTAAAGACACAGGAATTCACTGTGTAATTCTGACATATCTAAACACTAGAATATGTTTTTTTACATTTCAAGAAATGAATAAAAATCTTAATCTCTAATACTTAAGATAATCATAATCATGTTTTGATTTTCTCATTACCTCTAGCTTCAAATTCTTCTCCATTTCTGGGTCTTTAAAGTCATTAATTCTACATATTCTTATTAGATCTTGATTGATAATTACAAGAAATCAAACTAAACTAATTTTTCTGATAACATCCTTAGTTGAAAATAACTTTTAATAATGATTTAATGAGACTTGTAAATCTCTAGCTAGTAAGAAGGACAGAATGGGTTGGGCATATGCCTGTAATCCTAGCATTTGTGGGGCAGAGATAAAAGGATGACCACAAGTTCAAGGCCAGCCATGTCTAGATAGGGGCTCCAGGCTAGTCTGGGTACATAAGGAGATTCTTATCTCTAAAAATAAAAAAAAAAATAAGCAAAATAAACAAAAGGAAATACAGAACTGCACACACAGACACAAAAGTATGTGTGCACACATGTGTGCATGTGTATGTGTGTGTGTGTGTGTGTGTGTGTGTGTGTGTGTGTATCTCCCTAGTTTAAAAATACAGGTTTGGTTTTGGGTATTGTTTGTGAATTAATATTTTATAAAGAACTAATACAAAAAATGTAATTGGAAGATTCAAATATCATTCTTAGAAAGCTAAAATCAAGAAAGTACTTTCTCTTATAGTCAATTAACTGAAATTTTTGGTTATATAACTTTAGTTATTTAAGATTCTGGATTAAGTAATTTGGGAAGAACAAAGAAGTCTAAAAGTAAAAAATTTTGCAAAGTGAATGGGGAAAGTAGATTGCTCTGCCACCACAAGGCAAGCATGATTTGAAAGTTCAGTACTATCAGAAATAGGTCACTAGGGAGTACGGGACCAGGGTGAACTTCTAAAGGAAAAAGGAGCTATGACATGTTCAAGATAGGCTGGTTTTATACAGAAAACAGTATTTGAAACAGAACACAAAATCAGAAAGAAAGGTTCAGGAATAATCATAAGTCATGACCGAAGGATGGTGACTGCTGTACGATCACAGTAGAGCATGAAAACAGAAAGAGGCCAGAAACAAGATCAGGTGATGAGAGACCTCCAACAACAGGCCCAAGAGCTTCTAAACAGACTGTAGACACTGAAAGTGGAGGAGTTGAGTGTGATGGATGCAGAATGATTATTTCTACTCCTCTGTAGTAGTAGGTCTACTAATCAGAAATAAAACGTCAACTCCTTTTTCCTTAAGAGTACTTCATACTTTTGGAAACTGCAATTATGTTCCTCCACTAGAGATGATTAGGAGAGAATGAAAAAGAGAGAGTGATAGGAAAGAAACCAGCAGTGGTGGTTTCAAAGAAAATGTCCCAGAAGCTCCAAGTATTTGAATACTTGGTCAGCTGGTGGTGCTGTCTGGGGAGATTTGGGAAGTGTGGCCTTGCTGGAGAAAGCAAATCACTGGGGATGGGCTTTGAGGGTTCATAGACCTGTCCTATTTCCATTTGCTCTCTCTGCTTCCTGTGCCTGCTTCAAGATGTGAGCGCTTAGCTTTCAACTCCAGCTGCCTCCTGCATGCCTCCCCATCCTTAAACTGTAAGCCCAATAAACTTTTTATTCTCCAAGTTGCCTTGGTCATGGTGTTTTATCACAGCAACAGAAGAGTAATTAATACACCAGTTAAGAAGATACTTGTCATTTCTACAAGTCTTGAAATGATAGTACAAAATGACATGGCCAATAGTCAGAAGGGAAACAGAAGACAGGTATGATTTAGCATCCCTATAGACTCCCCAACTCAGAAATGTTCCTAAAATCTGAATGTGTCTTATCTAATTTTTTATTTTGTCTTAATGTCTCATGAGCAGCTTCAAAACAAGTCCTGTACTGATTAAGAAGAGTACTGTAAGGAATAGCACCCAGTAGTCTGTAGAACAGCAGTCACACTTACTGAGGAGTTCACCCATGCAGGTCCAAGGGCATCAGGTTCGAGGGCATTAGCTCTGAGGGTATCCTCACATGGGCTTTTGGGAAGTCTTTTAAATTACTGTATCTACTTTCAGGAGAACTTTGGGTATTGTAGAAACATCAGACACTACCTACATAATTTGTTTAGGTTGTATTCCTTACCCCATCTCTTCAGCATCAAATGGTACATTCCCACTGAAAAAACTGAAAACTGGGACTAATGTTTGTGCAACGTCCTATATGATGCAAGCAAACTCTGCTTCTCTGGTCACAGAAATGTCACCTTACTAGTATTTTCCTAAAAGTTGACAGTTTGATTTTGGTGATAAGAATACTAAACAGTTTTCACAATTACATCTAGTAAAGGTTATCTTCCTAATATGCTCATTAATAGGATCTTGTCAAAATATAAGGCATATGTAATGCTTTTTAAAAATGTAATCTTTGACCAAATAAAACTGATTTCAAATTCTGACCAGAGTTGGCTCAAGATTGCTTTCTTATTCATTAAAAAAAAAACTGGGGTTGGAGAGATGGCCCAATGGGTAAGAGCCCTTACTGCTCTTGCAGAGGACCTATGTTAGGTTCCCAGCAGCTACATGGTGGCTAACAACTGTTCATAACTCCAGTTCAACACCCTCTTCGGTACTACACAGGCATTGCATACAGGGTGCACTTACATATATGCAGACAAAACACACACACATAAACAGAATAAAATTAATAAAAAGAAATTATAAAAAAAGAATTATAATTTTCATAACCTCAAGACTAGGTATAAATTTCAAGGTCTGAAAGATTGCACCCTCTTTCCTATTAAGTTAGGAAAGTGACAATTCATCAAAGGCTGTCCCTGGCTTTAAGATAAACAGATTTTAAAACTATACTGCCTCAAGTGACTCTACCTACTGGTATAATAATACATACCACTGATATATGTATAATTATTTCAATTTTCATTTTTCTGAAACTAGTTTAGCTAAAGGGACTTGAGAACTAAGTATTTATTGAAATGATAACTAGAAATCTTATCTTCTTCATAAGTCTTACTGTGTTAGCAAAAAGACACACTAACATAGCTAGGTTACTGGATATATTGATTCATACTACTTTTAGTGTTCAGATAAAATTTTCATTGTATTTATAAATTTTTACAAGCAAAATTAAAATCTAATAAACTACAAAGTGACCAAGTTGCTCATTAGGAAACCATATATTTACCTGACGTTGCCCTTGGTATTTCGGAGAACTGTTGCAGCAAAATTCTGTGTGACACCTACCAAGCTGATTCCATCCACTTCCACAATCTGGTCATTGACTTGGATTCTGTAGGAAAAAGAAAGACAGTATCCACAATGAACTTTTCTGACAATGCATTATCCTTTCCAATACATAACTTTAAAAAATATTTGATTTTAGGACATTATTATTGACCCCAAATTTATCTTTCATATACAATAAGCTCCAGACCTTAGTCAAATGCATAATAGATTTATAAAACTGCTTTTCAAGATGGTAGAGAGAGCTCAGTTGGTAAAGTGTTTGCCTTTCAAGTACAAGGATCTGAATTCAATACCCCAAACTCATGTAAAAAGGTCAGGTATGGTACTGAAGACTTGTAACCCCAGGCTGGGGAAATGGACACAAACGAGTGCCTTGCTGGCTGGCCAGCCTCATTTACTGGCTAGTTCCAAGTCAGTGAGAGACTCTGTCACAAAAAGAGGTAGCCAGTCTCTGAGGAACAAAACCCAAGGTTGACCTTTTAGCCTCCACATATGTGTGTGCACGCACACACACACACACACACACACACACACACACGTGTATATACATACATACAAAAAATAAATAAAAATTTCCCTGAAAGCTAGAAATAAGGACCACTGAATGGATTCCGTTTATCATGCACATTCTTATTACAAAAAAGATAACTGCAAATGTATGGCGTATATATAGAACTCTTTGCTTAATTAATTAGAATTTCCTTGAGCCAAACATCTAGTCCCACATCAGTACTCTCCTTCATAAGGTAAGACATTAAGAATTGTGGGGAGTGCTTCCCACTCAAGTGGAATGCTCGTGGTACGTAATGCTCTCATGTGTGATAACTGTATATCCTCATATATACACAAAGATATGTCCAAGTATTTACATTTCTGAGACACATACTGCATTACATTGTTTAATAGGAAATACTTCAGAATTTACACTCATCAATATTTGAACCATTTCTTTCTAACAAAATGCATTACAGAAAAGAGGAAGCCCCTTTGTTGTCTTTCTTTCTTAATTTTTTTTTCTTGTCTTTTTAAGACAGGCTGTCCCTCCTGGAACTCACTATGTATGTAGACCAGGCTGGTTTGAACTCACAGAGATCCACTTGCCTCTGCCTCCTGGGTGCTGGTATCAAAGGCGTGCGCCACCACGCCCAGCCTCCCTTTGTTGTTTTTCTAGCTTCAGCAGAGATAACCACATACTAATTTTTGTGTTTAACTTTTCTACTGATTTTTTGGAATAGGAATAGTAGGCATCCATGAAAAGATCTGTGTTTGCATGTTTTCAAAAATTACAGAGCATCTCTTCTTACAGTTTAGTTTCATTCACTCAGTCTTTGTAAACTTGAGTTTTTTTTCTGTGGCAACTACAACTCTAGACAACTGATTTTAACAATATTATCTTTTATACCTGTATCAAATTACACTTACCTCTTTTTGTAGATAGATGTGTCATTTTCCACTTTAGCTATTATAAGCACAATTATAATAATCAACTTGATAAATGCAAACTTACACACATATGTGAGTTCCTCCAGGCCATATATGAGCCTAAGAATTTCAATCACATTAGAGATTAAATCTACATGAGTCAAGAATACTTAGTATTTTCAGATCCTTTACATACTGTCAATCATGTAGTTTTATAGCTAAGCAAGAGGTATTTTATATTAATTTATTAGCCTGCCTCTAGCTACTGAGTTCCTTAGATAAGGCCAGGGAGGTAGATGTGCTGAGGATGGAACCCAAGGCCTGAGGCATACTAGGCAAGCTCTCTATCACTTGGGTACATCCCTTTCTGAAATATCTAGCTCTCAAAAGTCTCTCTGAACCACATTTATTATCTTGCCAGTTTCTGAACTGATTAAGAAAATGAATAAAATCTTTGACATATGTTTATATTCGTGAAAGTCATTTTAAAATTGAGCACTCACTGTATTTGAATACCACATTCTGAAGGAGTCACTGATATGACCAAGTGGACTTACAAAGTCAACCCAATTGCCACACTACAGAAAGGCACCTGAGTGCTTAAGCCCTTGTGGTGGTTTGAATGAAAATGTCACCCCTTGGCTCCAAGTGTTTGGACATTTTGTCCCCAGATGATGGCGCTGTTTTGGGAGGTTATGGAAGGCATGGCTATCCTGGAGGAAGCATGTCACTGGGGGTGGGCTTAGAGAGTTCTTAAGTCTTGCCAGATCTCCAGTTGCTCTCTTGCTTCCTGTGCCTGTGTGATGATGTGAGAGCTTAGCTTCTGCTGCTCCTGCTCCAGCCACCTCCAGCCACCATGCTTCCCTACCATGACGGGCTGCAATTCCCCTGGAACCGTAAGCTCAAATAAACTCTTCTTTCTATAAATTGCTTGGGTCAGTGTTTCTATCACAGCAACAGAAAACTGACTAATACAGCCCTGTTCCCTTCATCTCAGACTTCAGAATGACTCTCAAGAAAAAACAGAACTTTTCTTTGCTGCCATTCAGGTCTGCTAGCACTTTGGTTTTCTTTCTTTTTATTTTTCTCCCTCTATACTTTGTGCTCCCCACCCCAGTTTTTGCCATTTGGCTAGTTCTGAAACTAGTTTGTACTGACGATGATGGTGGTGGTAGTGGTGGTGGTGGTGGTGGTGGTGGTGAGATTGATGACTCCCTTGAAAAAGCAGCAGTGATGGGATCATATCTTTTAATCTTACCATGGAGATCTCTGTTGGATTATAAAGCTCTACGACCCCTCACTTGGCAGTTAATAAAGAAGGTGACCTGCTGCCCTTTTAATTTTCTTTCTGTATTTATGAGCTCAAATTATTTCACAAAACATTTCATGGCTCCCAGAAAAGGAAAACAGATCACTAAAATGTTGATTTATGAGATTTTGTTTCTTTGAAAAATTAATGTGTTGCTAAGGTTGCAAAACTGAAGCTATGAATTCTATTATGTTATGTAACTGAATATAAGACCCTCTCATTATATGACTACTGATTAAAAATTATAAATTCTCTAAAATTAAGAATATTTGATCTAATTGGTTTATATACTATAAGCAATTCATGAATCTAGTATTATAGTATCTAATAAAGGTATGCATGTATTAGTCACTTAAGGAAAATCAACTTTCTTACAGAATCAGAACCCATATTAATGTAACAAGGTTGAATCTTTATATAAATTAGCAAATTTAATCATTTTGTTCTGAAATACATAGTTATGCTTCTTCCATAGCTTTTTTAAAGATATGGGTTTGCATTTTCATGAAGTTCACTAATACAAACTTCCTAAAATTCTGAGGATTAACTGATCAGATAAGTTAATAGTATCCATATATAAGATTGCCCATGAAACCACTATTTCCAAGATTCTTATTTTTCTTTAAAACCTTGGTCACACTACTCTTCTTCTTAACTTAAAATGTTAAAGTGTTACTATAATTTTGCATTATGATAATTGAAGGCTGCATCCTTGCCACTTTAAGAGAACATAGGGGGTTAGGAAGATGGCTCAGCAGGTAAGAGCCCTTGCTCTGCAAACATGAAGACCTGAGTTAGAATTCTTAGCACCTAAGTAAAAAGTTAGGCATTGTTGCACAAACCTGTAATTCCAGCAGTGTGGGCCTAGAGACAGGCAGTTCTTAAGGGCTCGATGGCTAGCCAGCCTAGCTGAAACTGAGCTACAGGTTCATCGAGAGCTCTATCTCAAGGTGATGAGGTAGAGAGTGATAGAGGAAGAAACCTGACATCCTGCTCTAGCCTCTGCATGATGCAGATGTGTGTGTGTGTGTGTGTGTGTGTGTGCATGCACACACAGACACAGACACAAACATAGACACACACACGTATGTGCACACACACACAAATGAAAAACAAAGTGCATGGCTACACAGAATATTTGCTAGTCAGCCAAATTGCTTGTAAATGACAGGTAATTCAAATTCCTGTTTCCTAGGGCTGCTTAGCTAGAAGTTAATTGACTCCAAGTTAATATGAGTGATTCACCATTTGCAGTATTAGAAAAACTACAGTGTTAAGAAAAAGTATAATTATGTAGGTAATAGGCTTGTTTTGCTTTTCAAGAAAAAAGGATTGTAAATTAGTTGTAAAGTACAAATTTTCAGGAAATTAAAGAACATAATGAAGTGTAAAATGAGCGTGTGTGGCAAGACAGAGGAACTGCATGGAAAGTCCAAAGACACGGTTTTTATTCGCTTTGGATTATAACATCTGCTACCAAAGACAGTCATAGAATTGGCTAAATTTTCACAAAATTTGGTTTTGAAAATCTTATAAATTAGAAGACCAGAGAAAAAAATCATTTATTGTCAAATTTTAAGTTAATGTAAAAGTAGAATTTAATTATCTCTTTATTAAAGTAACAATGGAAGTATTAGGTGGGTTCGATTTTGTTTTGGCTGCTGTTGTTGCTGGGAATTGAGACCAGATCCTTGGGTATGCTGAGCAAGTATGTGCCACCACTGATTCACAACCCTGGTCCTCAATGGCCTCTTAATAAAGGGTTAGTATGTATCATCAGAACTTCGTGGGTCATTTGTATATGTTGATTTGTCATTCCATTGATTACATATTTTTTTAAAAACATTAGAAAAGAGCATAACTTTCCTATATTTTTATCATTCCTTCTTCTACTCTTTAAAGTTAATACGCTTTATATTCTAGCACAGTTTTATATTCACAATAAAATTGAGTAGAAAGTACAGGAGCTCTCCTGCAGTCTCTGTCTGTACATGTACACACATGCACAATCTTCCCAACCAGGAACGTTGTATATCACATGCTACAGTCAAATACCCACACAGCCACATCTTTACCACCCAAGTTCCTGGTTCATAGGAAAGTTCACTTCTACTGCTGTTTTGAAAGATGCGTGATGACACATAACCACGTCACATAGGAAGATTCCACCCATGCTCTACTCATTCCCCCTGTCTCCACTTAATCCCAGCAATTGATGATTCTTTTATTGTCTCCAGGGTTTTGTCTTTGCTTGAAGTCATTATCATAGGGTTCAGATATGCAAACCTTTCAGATCACGTTACTTCACTCAG